ATGGATGGATGGATGGATGGATGGATGGATGGATGGATGGATGGATGGATGGATGGATGGATGGATGGATGGATGGATGGATGGTCCAAATGTAATTTCCCATTGGGAACCTACTAGTAGTACTAAGTTGCTAAGTTGATAAAAGACCAATCACATTCAATTTATCCACTGGTCTAAAGTCGTGCACCACTCGGGAGAATTCGGAAAAGCAACAGTTGGAACGCTTCCCTACGACTTTAAAGAAAATGTCAACTTTTATCATTTAAATATATCTAAAATAATGCTAAACCAGTCTTCTAGTGATGGGGGGGTTGGATTTACCCATTTTTTTGTTATTTAATTTTTACTGGCTGCTACTAAAGCCAGATTAATTATTTTTTTCTACATTTCCATTTACAAAACATGATCTTTGCTTAAGAAATAATGGAAGAAAATCCCCTCCATATAGCAGCAATATCCCACCTCTCTTCCAGGTGGCTGCGTGATGCGGCCTCGGTCATGAACCCCCGCAGGCTGCTGAGCTCACGCCCAATCTCTCTCCTCCACTGCTCCATCCTTCGCTCCACTCCTGAAATCAGGTCTTTCCTTTCATGGTTCTTCGCCCTAAGCTCCTCAGCCAGACTCTGAACTTCCTCTGCAGGAAGCAGCAGAGAGGTAAATCAGAACAGCATCTTTATTTCATAGATAGTGGGATGATTCCAGTGCAGAACAGCTGGAGAACATTCAGTAATCAGGTTACTGCTGGTATTGAATAAACTAAACAAATTATTCTCATCTTAACCATTTGTATTCTCCTTTCAGCTGCTCTGTCACAGAACATTTTAATTAAACATACATTGAAATGTATGGTTATAGTGTGACACTAAAATATAAGCAATCTTTAATTACCTAATTTAATTGTTATTCATATGCAACATTCTCTGGAATAACACACTTTTGTTTATCCTCGTTTAAAGCGTAACATTGGACTGGACGTGATGATGGGAAGATAATGAAATCTAGTTAAAAAAAACTTGGGTGAGAGGTTTTTAAAGCAGATACCTTGCAGAGTCTGAATGTGGCTTTGCTGAGATTGCTTCTCCCTCTCCAGGTCATGTAGCCTCTGGGTGAGCGACTCGGTCAGCTTGAAAGCGAGAGCAAAACTTTGTTGCAACATATAATACTGAGCAACACAGATAAAAATCACAAACCGTGAAAGAGAAGGCCCAGCGCTCAGCTTGTGGCTGTAAACTCCATATATCTTGGGTTGTAATGCAGGACAATGTATTTTGCACTCCAGTGCTTTTCAAGGATTTATTATCTTTAGGAAGTGATTTCTTTTCACATTTATTTAGGCTGCATTGAGTACCTTTGTTGCCCTTATAAGTGATATAAGTTATCACAAAGTATTTAAAAATCTGTTGAATGATCACTCTGCAAATAATTGAAATCTCAATAATCATTTTTTTTTCTAAAAATAAGTGCATTTTCTTGAATTGAAGAGGTAAGTGAGACACTTTTTCAATGGAACAAGACAATTTACATTTAAGAAAATAAATTGCTTTGTCTGATTTCAAGTGCATACTATCCAATTATCTTATTTTAAGGGTAGAAATACTCATTCCATTGGCAAATAATGTTATTTACCTTCTTATCTACCCTCTTAGATCGTTTTTGTAATGCAGAAACAGTAAATGGCAGAACCAGCATACGATAAGAGTTTTACTGTCAAAAATGTTGAAAACCATGAAGCCATTTTATTTCCAGCTGATGAGCAACGCTGTATAAATCAGAAGCATAAAATTTGTTTGTTTGTTTTATCAACTTAAAATGAGCACAAACCTGGCTCTGTATCTGGAGCTGTGACTGAATGGCGGCCAGGTCAGCCCACTGAACATCTGAATGGAGAGATGATGGAGGCGTATGGAGAAGCTGGGCTGTATGAGACGGAGCAGGAGGGCTCAGATCTGAACCCAACCCTCTTTCCTTCACTGTGCATGAAAACTTAAAGTTAGAACAAAAACAGAAATGACTGTATAGAGCAAATAAGAGGAAGTTAAAGGCAATCTGAAAGACCCCACCCACCTTCTGCTCCTTTAGATAATTTCCCAGCAGAGCTTAGTCTTTCCTGTTGAAATATAAAAAAAAATCCAAAATTACAACCCATATCTATGTTTGTTCCCCCATAGGAGTAATCTAAATAAACTAGAAACCATGTTATCCTACGTGTGTGACTACTGCCCCCTGCTGGTGGGTACTATATTAGCAGGATAGAAAGTGGAGCTGTCCTCACCTTTATGTTAGTGACACTGCCATCAGCTGCAGACAGGATGGAGTTCAACTGACTGTCCCAGTTCATGTCTAGATGCAGAAACAAAAAGTCAAACATCATCTGTAATCACTCTAATTCATTAATTACTCTAATTCATTAATCACTCTAATTCATTAATCACTCTAATTCATTAATTACTCTAATTCATCACTAATCAGCATTTTCTTCCTCGGTAGAGTCATCCGAGTAAGGCTTCCAGACCCTATGAGGATGTGAGGATTGAGTTGCAGGAGGTTCGAGCTTTTGCAGCTTAGCAGTGACATCCAATAGTCTGGATATATCCAGGTTTCCTGATCATGAGTCAGATCGCTTTCCCTGTTTAAATCTTTGCAGAAACATTTCCAGGATCATGGATAAATACTTCTGTTGTCATTTCTTTGCAATTATTTTTCTTCCTTAGAATGAAACTCTGGGAGCTGCATAACAGCAAGACTTTTTATTATTAGCTGTTAATACATTTGATCTTTCAGTAGTTAGTATATCTTTAGAAGATTAATACAAACTGTACGTCATAATTAGGCAACAGCTAAAACGTGAAAACGTATTCTTTTTAACTTCAAAACAAGACAGTCATCCTGTGGCATTAACGGTTATAGCGGTTAAATTCAGTTTCTCAGCGGTTGGCACATCGTCGCATCGCGGTTGCTAAGCAACGAAAGGTTTGGCTTTAACTTGGGTCTTAAATCATTTTTTAACAAGTGTCCTTTAACATAGACCTGCTTACTAAAACTAAGGAGAATGGATCACATAGAAAACAAGGATAATTTAAGCTAACAGCCTTACCCATTTCTTTACACCTCTTCTAGGGGTCCAAGCTTTAGCCGTTACTGCCCTCCCCTCTGAGATAAAGTCAGAAAGATGTCCGGCGGCAGCTTTAAGTCAGTCCGGCTACAGAGAAGTGCTGAAACACCCCTGAACCTTTCCTTCGGTGCGGCCCACCACTTACTACCAAGCCCAGACTATAAATAATAAAATAAACGCTCATGGACTCCCTCCAGCTTCACTTCTTTTTCTTCTTCGTCTTTCTGGTTCTTCTTCTTCTTCTTTGTGACGTTTATCCGCGGTTGGCAAACTATTTGAATGCACATTACCGCCACCTACCGGTATGGATTGTTGAACAAAATGACAGTATTCTAGCCAATATATTTAGTCCCTTTACTTTATTTCCTAAATATTATAATCGAATATCATCCGTCTTTGCCTGATATAAATACTATTTATAAATAATATCCTAAATGTTATATTTTATTCCTAATATCCTGCTGTGACTTTTATTTAATTGTCTTTCTGGTTCATCTGCTTCTCTGCATTTTATTAACGGACTATAATTAGACTTAGACAGATTTATTTTTTGTCATTTTGTTTTCACAAGTGCAAAACAAAAAGAAACAGTGATATAAACATGACTGTAAATTTACAGTTCTTACTGTCACTGTCTTGTTATGCTTTTTTTGAGTGTTCAGTTTAACTTTGCTCCATGTTTTCTAGTTTTGTTGGTTTAGTTCTTATTTTGTTGTGTTTTCTGGTTATATTTCAGTTCTCAGGTTTTTATTTGCAGCCCTCTTTTGCCCTCTTGTGTTGGTTTCCTTTTTCCCTTGCTCCTTAGACCGCTCTCTTCACACCTGCTCCCAATCTGCTCGTTAGTCCTCTCTTTGTTTAGTTAGCCATAAATACTCTCCTTGTGCAGTTCCTCAGTGCTGGTTCCTCGTCTAACTTCGTCCAACTCCGTCTTCTGTGTTTTCCCCTGAAGTCACCATGGTTTCTGGTTTGTTTAACTTTTTTCATGTTTGATTTTTGGATTCCTGCCTCAGCTGTGTGTTAATCTTTCATTAAATCTACAAGAAACTCACCTCTGCCTCCCTGCGTCTCCATTTGGGTCCTCAAACCACAATCCAATCCTGACACTAACATTTTCATCTTTTATTTATATATATATATATATATATATATATATATATATATATATATACATACATACAATGATAAAATATAATAAAATACAATAACCCATTTTATAAAACATTCAGCAGTCTAATGGCAGTGGGGAAGAAACTGTTATGGAACCTGCTGGTCCTGCATTGAATGCTGTGAATGCTCTTCCCAGAGGGCAGCAGGGTGAAAAGTCCATGGTGGGGGGGTGAGGGGTCATTGATGATGTCACGGGCTCGGGACATGCAGCGCTGGGATGAAATGTCTTTAATGGAGGGAAGAGGAGCCCCCATGATCCTCTCTGCTGTTCTCACCTTCTTCCAGTCTGAGGCGCTGCAGCCTCCACTCCACACAGTGAGACAGCTGGTCAGAACGCTCTCTATGGTGCTTCTGGAGAAGGTGGGGAGGATGGGGGGGTAAACAGCAGGGGGCTTAGGACGCAGCCCTGAGGTGAGCCTTTGCTTAGAAGATGAGATCAGAGGTGTTCTGTCCAACCCGGACTGACTGAGGTCTGTTGGTGAGGAAGTCTAGCAGCCAATAGCAGAGGGGTGTATTGAAGCCCAGCTGTTCCAGTTTGCCCATCAGATGCTGTGGGATGATGGTGCTGAAAGCTGAACTGAAGTCCAGGAACAGCATCCGCACGTGGGTGTTCTTCTCCTCCAGGTGTGCCAGGCTCAGGTGGAGAGCAGCAGAGATGGCGTCCTCAGTGGAGCGGTTTCATCGGTAGGCGAACTGGAACGGGTCGAATGTTGGCGGCAGACTGGAGACGATTTGTTCTTTGACCAGCCTCTCAAAGCAATTCATCATGATTGAAGTCAGTGCGACAGGCTGCTGTGACAGATTAACTGGTGACGATATCAACTGGTCAGAATCTATGCGTACTGCAGATGTTAATGAAGCTTAGGTGGTCGTGTAAATGCCTGATGGAAAAGCTTCCAAACGGAACAAAACTACTAGCCAAACTCAACCAGATATATCTAACGAATGAATTCCTGCTTCTTTCAGATTTGAACAATGTGGCAAATAACTAATATTCACAGAAAAGTGTTTAGTGCAAAGAATCCCACATGAAGACCAGCGTCTTTCACGAGACCAGATTGAGTTGTGAAACAAATCACTCGCCTTTATGCATACATAAATCTAAATGCTGGCATACAGCTATAGCAGTAATGCTATGTGAAACTGGACTGTCCCTTCGTTTAGTGACAAATGTACAGAAAAAATATCTATATAAACAAAAATCTGTCTCACAATGGAGTGTAATTTCGACTGCTCACCATCTGCTAGAAATCAACACCTTCAGCTTGGAGGAGAAAGTCCGCCCACTTTGTAAATTCCTGAAGGTTCCTGTTATTCAAAAAGTAATGCATGTGTGAGCACCATTTAAAAAAAAAAAAAAAGACTGGATCACTGATTGCATTGAGTTAATGGATTCAAACAAATGCCCATTATTGCTGTTATTCTCCCATTGACAACATCTTTACATAGTTCCTTAATGTGATGTTCTGAATATTGTATTGATATATTGATTTAATAAAACATTCAAAATGTCTTTCATTCTTCTTTACCATATTAAAAATATATGTGCATTCTGTTAAATGTGACTGCAAGAACTAAATATAATATTCAGATAATCAATCTGATGATAGACATAGGCTACTGTACCAGTAAGTCAGTAAAGCAGAAGGTAAGTGATTAAAATGAGAAATATAAAAACGTTAGAGCACATACTATGTCCAATGCAAGTATCTCATTCTGAATGAACACAGCTGTAACACCTGAATGGACTGAGCTATTTAAATCAAAGTATTTAAAGTAAGTATATTTGTACATTAGTCTGGACGTGTCATTACGCCATTAAAAGGAAAAGAGCCATGCCAATTGGAATGAACAAGGATCTGAAACAGCTTAGGGTATTCATCAGCCAAAATTCCAAACAGCTGTGACATTACATTTAAACCTATCCACAGGTGTATTACATCAGGCTAGGAACTAGATAAAGCCATTGTAAAAAGAAATAATCCTTGTTGGGCTTGGAAGACGGGTGTAGTCTTAAGAGAAAGAAAAAAAAAAAACAACACAGTTTTTACATAGTGGTGGTAGCAGTAATTGTCTGGACCAGTTGTTGAACTTGCAATGGATCCCAGGAAAGTTCAGGAAATCCTGGACCTTAAAATTAACTACATATCCAGAAGATGCAAACAGCAGTACATCATCAGACGACGAGCATCTACGTTTGTTTTGCAAGGTAAGTGCATTATTAGAAGCCAGTAAGTATAATTCCATAATCTAAACATGGTGGATATATTGTCCTAATGCAGTGGTGTCAAACTGCACAGCAAATCCAACATGCTCAAATCAACCCTGTCAGATTAGATTTTAACATCCTTGAAGTGTCTATATGGGTCCAGCGAGTGTTAATTTGACTATTTTTGGAGAGTTGGCGCTGTAACTTTTATTTAATGTTAAATAATAAATCTTTCTGGAGTTGATAATTTAACACTTAAAGGGAAACGCCGTTTTTTTTACATTGGGCCCTTGATTTTACATTATTCAATCATGTTCTACTCACCCATATGAGTTTTGTGTCATTTGGAGCCGTTCTGAAGATATTCCGTTAGGTTCTATCCAGGTAACGTCTTCCTATGGGCAACGACTGGAAGGCAGAAACTTAACTGTTCATTTATTCTTTATGGTACGCCAGCATTCAGAACATGTAGGCCAATCACTGTCCCCCAAACATCCTCCATTATATTTTTTATATTTCTATTTTTTAAAAACAAAGCAGTGTGTATGACGTCATCTGTGCGTGCCGGCTATCGTTCATTCTTCCTGTCTGCTGAACTGCTGCTAGTTTTCCTCACAT